ACGTTCAAACATGTGATTTGATGTTGCTCCCATGCATTAGGGTGGGTGTCAAGGTCACCTGAAGGTCAGGTCAGGTCATTGACCTTTGGTGACCTCGGGTGACCTCGGTTCACTTTTTCGAGTTTTACATGTTTCTAGGCTAGTTTTTGGAGCTGAATTCGAATTTAGCAACCATTTAAACATTTACGAAGTAGTTTTGGTGCCTTCGTAACATGTTACGAAGCTGTCCGAGGCGGTTGACACGTACTGCGAATACCCGTCAGGCCGTCACAACCCCTACTAGTTGACCTGACCTGACCTGACCCGACCTGGTCTAAATGCTTAAAGGTAGACTGCCACCTTTTTTCCACAAAACGGTTTTCACTAGAGCTGAGCCACCTATGTCCCAGACTGAAGTCGGTTTTCCGAAATTCGAACCCGTTTGCGAGAAATCGGAGACCAAAGTTCAGTTTGATGCCATTTTTTTAGTCCAAGAAAACCGACATCTCTACTGTTTACTGTTTACTTTGAAACATGAATTTTCTTATCTTTTGGTAAATATATGTCAAAACTTTGATTGTTTCGAGATCAGAGAAGAATTTTGGAGTGTCAAAATAAAAGTTAAACTTATATATTCAGTAGTTCATTTTTTCCAAAAAAGTGTGGGAAATGGGGTTTAACATGGGCCAGACCCATTCCAAATGAGCCATGATTTTTAAATGTTTTACGAACTTAAATGCAAAATAAATTAAACATGGCCAATTTCTTATGAAATCATATATTAGTAAATCATAAAATACCTTACTTTTTCAAATAAAATGTAATAATCTTATGACCTTGAAGTCTAGTGATGTGTAAACATTGTCGCTAGACATTAACCGATTGATAATTGTATGATAATCGACAATTTTTTTCGCGATTCACGTGATGATACTTTGTCAGGTGAATTCTAAAATTTTGTTTTGTCCAGGGAATAAATCATAGGCCGATCTGAGAAAACTTTTTGAAGGTGGCAGTCTTCCTTTAAATCATCTGTGATCAAAACTAACACGATATTCGTGATCAGCACCCCGAAAAACCCCTTAGCAGCCACACTTTACGACTTTCTAATAGGTCCCGATTTTCCCGACTTTGGGTCATTGACCTGACCTGGAAGGTCAACCAATGACCTAGGACCTTAAAATTGGGTATCATCGGCTTCCTCTCGTCACGGGCAACACGCTCGTTTTTTTCCGCGAAGCTCTAGCTCGATCAGGGGCCAAACGGCAAGGGGGGTCCAACCGACCCCCCCCCCCCCCTACACATTAGAAGCTGGCAAACGCCGCACACATGCGAGGGATAATGTTTCAATGCTTAGGGCTTCGAGTCTCACGAAGCTTTGAGAAATGTTGGTAATTGTTGGTCAAAACAACCCCTCTACTAGTTCTATGAAGGTTGTGAATAGGGGAACAGCTGACATGCGATGGACATTACACCTGAATACTAACGCAATAAGATTTTTTTTTTTTATAAATTCAGTCCGAACCTCTTGATGGGAAGGATTCACAAGGACAGAGCCACCGCTAAGCGAAGCTTGTTGCGGTGACCCTGTCCTCTACCCTCCGATCGCGCAATTCCAGTTCTATGGCAGAATTTAGAGTCCAAAGTTTAACGTGCGCACATAGCCGCGCACGGCCGGTCCCCTCACTGACTTCACCTGGCTGCGGCCTGCCACCAACCGCAACCATACCTGTCAGGAGGCCCATAAATGTCAAGCGCCCGTCGCGCTTCGAACCCGGACTGTTGTAACCGGGAACGCGTGCTCTCACCACGCGGAGTCCAACGCTCTACCAACTGAGCTACGGGACCGGCGTGGTGGAAGATGGATGGAATTGTCGACAGAGCACCATCCCAATGCTGTTATCACTTATCACATCATATATGAAAGGTCATGCACGTTACATAATGTACATATCAGATTGCATAAACACTACCAAAACAAGTGCTAAACGACTGTCAAATGATATTATATATCTATTCAAATTTCAAATGCAAAGACTCATAACACCTGGGCTTATACATAGGTAGGATACTGATAAATGAATTTGAAATGCATTGCTCTATTACAGCGTTTGTTTCTGTATGAGCAATATATTTTAGTAGGGTGATGATGAGTTGTGTTTAGGGACACCATAACGGTACTAACAGGCTGATAAATACGAAACTTGTCTTGCATGCAAGTGGCAGCCACTAAGAAGTGGCGCAACTTATCAAACAACCGTCGCCTATCAAACTGACGGGATATTAGTCCGAATGGTAGTCCGAATATTAGTCCTACTGGACATCTGTGCAGACTCGGTGTGTACTCAGCACCACCCACAAGCGCCTTGAGCGGATGTGCCGATCACGCAGCATCCTACCCCGTGTCCGGTGACCTCAGGGTGCGTCAGACGACGGCGCCGTTTTTGTCATCAGGCTCAGATGATCGATGCGTCGCCGGTGACTCGCTCCCTCGCCAACAATCACGCCAATCGTCGCCACTTGGGGGACGGTGACGCGGCCGGCGAGCGGGATGGACGGCGGGGTGGGTGTGTTGGTGGTCGCGTGGGTGTTAGATTGTGGGAGGAAATGGGTGCATGTGAGGGGTGGGTGCATGGGGAGGATTGCACGCAAGAGATGCTGGGTGCAAGGAGGTGTGAGTGTGGAGAATGCCGGGTGTATGGGATAGATGAATGAAGGTGTCGGGTCGGGCAAGTACCGCACTAGGGTAAGCTCGGCGTTGGGTGTGATGGCGATGTGTACTGTGGGTGTGAGGGAGGGTGCAGGTTGCAGGTCCGCGACTCGCACCCTCGCCCCAGACGGACGGGGCGCCGCGGCGCCTGCAGCCGCGCCGGAAGCGACCGACCGCGCTGCTTCCGGTGACCATGACGTCACGTGCGGCGACTGCGTCATCCGGGGCGCATGACGAGAGGAGGCGGGCCGGCCGGGGAGCGACCGCGTCAGCCGCCCCGTCAGCCGCCGAGAGGGTATGACCGTATGTGCGGTACGTACCAGGCCTTCCGGTTGTCGACACGTCGATGGAAACCTTCGACACATCAGCCCGTACAATGAGATGCAGAAGCATGGATCAGGAAAACCGCTCTAGGCAACAGTAACTGCTGCCTGTTGCATGACTCAGCTGGGGCATTATTGCTGTAAGAAGTGGCCTCTCTGAACAGCATATTACTGAATGACTTACAGCCAAACATAACACAGAAAACATGAAGCCATCTTTCATGGCGAGACCACTACAAAAGCACGCACAACCATTACCAAACTACAAATCAGGACAGCTTATCACATTAGCTTCAGCTTGTCAGTGTTGTTCAACATGCCAACTTGTTCATTAGTAATTCACTCTGTCTCAGAAGCTTATGACAAACTGTGTCCAACCTCATAGCTTTCTACAATCAACTACCTATCAAAAATCCCTGGGAGATGAAACAGGAAGCCACTGGACCTTGTCTCCTATAATTAGAACCTGTAATAACATTATGCCTATGACAATACAAGGTAAAAAAAGCATTCCAGGTTGCCCTTTTCAACCACCTACAGCATCAGCGTTACACAATCGTTTTGGCTAATGTTGGCTGTAGCTGCCTCAATCAATGACACTGGATGAATTGATATCAGTAAGAAGGTCCTCCAAACGTCTTCATTAGGAATGTCCAGCAGCATTAATGGATGCTAGATTACCATACGAGAAAGTCTGGGAAGCTCCCAATGACTGAAAGAAAATGAGCAGCATTTATAGATGGAGAATACTTAAAGAACACTTACCAAAACCTTGTTGAATTTTTCCTCCAGAGTATCTCTGTCTGGCATGGGTAGCTTCATTGATGCTGATGTTGTCACAGTCCCAGGGACAATTGTTGAGCAGTTGCCAGCACCTGCGCGCTTATCCATCAAGGGACTTGGAGATGGCTTCTCCTTTGTGCCACCACTAGATGAGTTCCCCATGATTATTACAATGTGAGGTGATCAATGTCAGGATCACACAACTAAAAATGATGAAACTTTCAACTTGGCGCCTGCTCTTGCCAGACACAATTTTGTTTCACAAACTTCCTCAAAGTTTGCAAAATGCAAAAACTGACTTTAGATTTGGACAAGCCTCACAAGCAGACCATAATTTTGATCTCTCAGCTACTCGATCATTGAAAACCTCCGACACATAGGTATGCACTGTAGCACAGTCCGCAAGTGACACGATATATTAATAAATATGTCACAGCATATAATCTACAGTTTGCACCGCAATCACGCATCAAATGAGGCCGCCCGCAGTCCGCAGATCCACCACACTCGCTTTGGCTTCCGATGTTGTTGTGCTGCTGGGGGCTGCCACTTTGAGCTCGCCACAAAGGGCTGCCAAATGAAGTCGCTAGTTATTGAGATATATTCCAAATGTCTCAGACCGTTGAGCAAAGTTGAATTTCTTTATAGCTGGATCAAAACAAGATAATAATTAAATAATTCAGACTTTTAAGCTTTTCATGGCAAAAAGTTAGGCCACGCAGCTAAATCAATTGTCCTCTTTAGGACAGAAGCAAGAATTTTTGCGGACGCCAAAAAAATCCCACGTCGTACAGGCACGCTATTACATGTTGGCAAAAACGTCTTTCGTAGATTGTAACTGCCTTATTTTTACCAAATTCAGTGGCCAACAATGAAAATCTTATTTTCTTACATTGTGTGATATCACTTGAAGTTTGAACGATTAGCAAGTGGGTCGACTCGAGACTCACGGCTAACTTTCAACGTGTTATCACTAAGGTAGTTAGTTTTAATTTGACGACCTGGACTCTTCTGGGAGTTATACAGCATTTCCCCAGGATATTTAGCAATATCGCCAGAATTCGCCGAAATATCTCAGCTATGCCAACAAGTAGCGGACAGAAGAAATTTTATAGGCCCACTGATTGATTTGAATCCGTACAAGCAAGGTGGGTTCAGCAAAAACGAAACCAGAGACAATGTCCACTGTAAACTTATAAACCACATGATTTCAGATATATTTATTCCTAAATATGATACCATGTAGAGCAGAGTTCCGAATTCCGCTTACTACGCGTCCATCGAACACGAGACACCGTACACACGTGAAGAAACCGAAATGTCCGTTTGACCAGGGTAGTTTGCAATGACACCATACAGCAGCAAGCTAACCATAGCTGGTTCCCCGGGTGCCGATATCCTCGCAGCCCTTTGCGCAAAGTTCCATCGCTCGCCCGACCGCGGCACCCGTCCTCTCGGCTCAGAGATCCCACCAGCTGCGCGGCTCCCCCGCCGCACACAGCGACCCCTATACCTCCCAGCGGCGGGCCAGTCACCGACGCCGCACCACACACCGCTCGTGCCAGCGAACGGCAGTCGTCTCCGGCGGCCTACGACGCAGAGCGCGGAGTGCGCCACACACAATACACAGAAGACTACACGGCGGATCAAGTGCATGCACAGACACTCACGAATACACAGATATTGAAGCACTCACGGTACACGCGACAGGGACAGGACGAGAGATCTCTGCGCGGCGGACGAAACCCAGGGCGGGAGGTTTCGTACCGGAGACGGCGTACAGCCACGGAGACGGCAGGCGACACCACTCCTACCGTGTTCCCGACCGGACGCGCGGACTCGAATATCAGGATATTCGAGAGGGTTCGACACCGTGCCACAACGCCACAAACATGTACAAAATTATAACGGGAACCGCGGCGCGCATATTGTCTCAAAATTAATTCACAAACACCTGACAACTTAGAGTTTACACCGCATACGCTACACGTCATTCGCAAATCGATTCGCCCGTACAAGCACATGCACGACACAACACACACGCACACTCTAGGCAGCCTAATCTATCTAGTACTAAGACCCCATCCTCCCCATGCCTTGCCCGCCCGAACCCCGCCCGTCCCCATCCCATTCACTAGCGCTCTGATCCAGAGCAGTTCACCACTCGTCTACATAGCTCTGAGTTCTTCACATCCCGATTGTGCAGATGTCAAACTGTGCACAGATCCGTTGACTTCAGTGTTTCACACAGTGTAGTGACACTACCGTCGGTCACGGAGGCACATGTGCCTCTTCTGCCGCTCGAGTCGTGTGTATGTGTGTGGCAGACTCTCATCGGTAAGGAGTGATCGTCTTACATCATCTCGACGGCTTCCTTCTTACCGCCGGCCGCGAGAAAGTCCACGTCCTCTTCGTCGTCCTGTAAGGAAAGGCAGACATGCAGTCAGAATTCAGACCAAGGGGAAGACACGAGAGAACACAAAGCTAGCTGCATAAATCGTTGCATTTGCAGAAATATTCGAAACCCGGATGGGCAAATCACACAAAACCAAAAATTGTACGCACACAAAAGGCAAATTCTAACCACAAAGAGCATGATCATTTTGAGCCCTGGCACTCACGTCGAAGCCGAAGCAGTTCTGCATGTCCTGCTTGCTCTTCTGGACGGCCTGGTCGTCGACGCGCCGCCGTCCGCCGGGCGTGGTGGGCCGGCGCGGCTGCTCACCGCCGGCGCCCTCGCCGGCCGCCTGGGGCAGCAGGTCGGCCGGCAGACCGTCGTCGGCCAGGCTGACGTCGGTGCCCAGCTGGGCGGCGTCGATGGAGGAGGCGGCCGGGCCGGCGGCCAGCTGCATGTCGATGCCGCTGCCGCCGGCGCCGGCCGCCTGGCTCAGCGCCGAGTCGGGCACCACGGCCACCGTCTGCTCCTCGCCGTTGGCGTCCTGGACGGAATCAGGCGAGGTCAGAGCTAGTGAGCCACGGCCGGGCGGTGACAGGCGGACACCGGAATCACAACAGGCAGCTAAAAACATGATCAACGTGCCGTGGGATACAATGCTGTCCGATCGCCAATCACGTCATATTATCACACCCGTCCCCAACTGAAACGTACCCACTCCTCCCAAATTCCGGACTCCCCCGCTCCCCAGCGCCTCGTTTCCCATCTGGCGCAGTCCCACAGACTCTCACCTGCAGATGGATGACCTCGAGGACGACATACTGCTGTCCGTCCTGACCCTGGACGGCGACCATCTTCTGCTCGGCGCCGCCGCCGCGGCCCTGCTGAAGCGCCTCGCCGCCCAGGCCCACCTCCTCCTCCCCCTCGTCCTCGTACATCTCCATCGGCTGCTGGTCCAGCGCCTGGCGGCCAGAGGATCGCGGGGGGATGGGTTACCGCTCTGGCAACGCTCTGGCACTAACAGCGCTCGGCGACACGCAAGAAACTGGCGCCAGTAGAAAGAGCAACAGAGAAAAAAGAGATAGCAACAAAGCTCGAAAACCATCACTTCTATTTCTAAATTCCAAAAGCTACCATCGTTAATTACAATGAGTCAGGTGTAGATAGACAAACTGTGTTGAATCGTTCGTTCAAGATACTATTAGATTACTAAAGATGTCAAAATACAAACAAGAGCTCTGGATGGCAAAAATACAAATAAAATATAAGAAATTGACATTCATAAAATTGTCCGGTGTCGCAGCGGTTGAATTGCCGCCCTTACCGTCACTTTGGTCTCCCGTCCGAGTTTGAGGGCCAGCTGCTTCTCGGCGGCGCTGGCCTCCGGGTCGTGGATGGCCAGGTGGCGGATCAGGTTGCCCTTGTGGCGGAAGGCGCGGCCGCACTCGGGGCACTCGTGCGTCTTCTCGCGCGGCTGTGGCGGAATGTAGTTGGGGTTGTGGTAGAGGTTGACGTGCCGCTTCAGCAGCTGCTTCTGTCGGAACGACTGGTCGCAGTGCTGGCAGACGAACGGCTTCTGGTCGGTGTGGACCAGCATATGCGACTCAAGGTGCCGCTGCGAGGTTGACATGTACGGGCAGAGGTCGCACTTGAAACACTTCTCACCCTCGTGCGTCTTGCTGTGCAGCTGGAACACAAAACAGAAAAACGGCTTCAGCACAGGGAGACACTTATCAGACGGCACGGTCACGTCACGACGATCATATTTATTTGTCAGCTCAATTTAAAAATAAATTATAATCTAGAGTTAATATATAAGTGATTGGATACATTGGAATTGTAATAGCAAATTCCCTCACAACCCATCAAAAAAATTACTGCACTCACTACTCAACTCGGCTGAAGTGGCGTACCTTGAACGAGTAGCGGTCCGGGAAGCTCTTCCCGCAGCGTTTGCACTTGATGGGCCGGTCGGAGGTGTGCAGCTTCTGCACGTGGATGCGCAGGTCGGTCTTACGCCCGCAGGTGGTCGGGCACAGCTCGCAGTGGTAGACCGGCTTCTCCCCCGAGTGGATCTGCCTGTGCGCCTTCAGAGAGTTACTCTGCGTGAAGCGCGAGCCACAGATGTCACACTCGTACGGCTTCTCCCCGGTGTGGATCCGCAGGTGGCGCTTCAGCTTGAACGTGTCCGGCGAGGCGTACGTGCAGTGCGGGCACTGGTAGGGCCGCTCGCCCGTGTGCGAGCGCATGTGGCGGCGCAGCTTGCTCAGCTCGACACTCGAGTAGTCGCACTCTGGGCAGGTGTGCGGCTTCTCCTTGGTGTGGATGTAGCGCACGTGGCGCACCAGCTCGCCCGATGTGGTGAAGTTGGCGTCGCAGAACTTGCAGCAGTGCGGCTTGGTGCCCGTGTGCGTGTTGACGTGGTTCTGCAGCGAGGCCAGCGTCTTGAAGCCGCGCTCGCAGACGGAGCACTTGTGCGGCCGCTCCTCCGAGTGGGACTTCATGTGGCGCGACAGCAGGTACCTGACAACACAGCAGAATCGTCGATCGTCAGCAAAAAGATTCTTGAAATTTCTGAAAAGGTTAGCAAAGAAATGTGGCATAATTGGTAGTGTCCCGCTTTAGGTTCTTGAAGCTGGTGAAAAATAAACATTAATACACTTATGAATGAATGAATGAATGAATGAATAAATGAATGAATGAATGACAATAAATGAAGGAAGGAAGGAAGGAAGGAAGGAAGGAAGGAAGGAAGGAAGGAAGGAAGGAAGGAAGGAAGGAAGGAAGGAAGGAAGGAAGGAAGGAAGGAAGGAAGGAAGGAAGGAAGGAAGGAAGGAAGGAAGGAAGGAAGGAAGGAAGGAAGGAAGGAAGGAAGGAAGGAAGGAAGGAAGGAAGGAAGGAAGGAAGGAAGGAAGGAAGGAAGGAAGGAAGGAAGGAAGGAAGGAAGGAAGGAAGGAAGGAAGGAAGGAAGGAAGGAAGGAAGGAAGGAAGGAAGGAAGGAAGGAAGGAAGGAAGGAAGGAAGGAAGGAAGGAAGGAAGGAAGGAAGGAAGGAAGGAAGGAAGGAAGGAAGGAAGGAAGGAAGGAAGGAAGGAAGGAAGGAAGGAAGGAAGGAAGGAAGGAAGGAAGGAAGGAAGGAAGGAAGGAAGGAAGGAAGGAAGGAAGGAAGGAAGGAAGGAAGGAAGGAAGGAAGGAAGGAAGGAAGGAAGGAAGGAAGGAAGGAAGGAAGGAAGGAAGGAAGGAAGGAAGGAAGGAAGGAAGGAAGGAAGGAATGAGCTACTTCTTTCTTAGTAGAAGCAAAAACAACATTTTTAGAAATATTACCACCGAACGAATGAAACCTCGTGGTCTGGCTTTTCATTAGGGGAGAGTGGGGAAAGATGCCCAGGGTTTGACTATGTCATATATTATTCGAAAATGACGATCGGAAAGCCAAAACTTGGAGTTTCAACGGAAGCCGACATCATTTTTCTCCAAAAAAAAAAAACACTTTCGTGCCTGAAATATGATAACTTTTTTTGCTATTAAGCATTTTCCTGAAGAAGTGAAAGGGGGCATCTTACCCCACAGGGTGGAAAAGACGCCCCCTGGCGTTGGGTAAGATGCCCCCTGCACTAAAAGTGACATAAATAGGCACGTGAATCGCCTGAACGAATCAGTAGTCCCTTCGAGCCTGCGGTAGACACCAAACGTCATCGTAAGGGCCCTCAAAAGTAGTCGTAAGGGGCTTCAGAGGTCATCGTTAGGGCCATCATAGTCCAGCGTGGCCAAACAAGCCTCCGTGGTGGCGTTCAGAGACCACTGTGGGGCCCTTATAGGTCTTCATGATGACTGAGGGCCCTCGAGCCCATCGTGGGGACCTCAGATGCCAGCGCGGCCCGTGGAGCCAACGTGGGAGCCCTCAAAGGATGTCGTGAGGGGCCCTGGAACCAATAATGGGGCCCACAGAGGCCGTCGTGAGGGCTCTCAGAGTCAGATGCCGCCCAAAAAGTCGCTGTGTGGGCCGAGAGACCGCCATGGGGAGCACCCGACCGTACCGGACTCTCAATAGTCCCAGATCGGCTTTTGTCTCTCATCATAAGTATGTAATAAATGATTTGACGGGCTGCTTGAACCCTAGTAGCACACAACATTGATACAACATCGAGATATGTTGAAATCAGGTTGATTGTCAATATTGGTGCTTCAACACGAATTCAACATTGATTCAACGTTGATATCACGTTGAAATTTGGTTGTGCTTTGTTGAATCTTGGTTGAAGTTCAACATTGTAGTTCAACATCGATACAACATTGTCCCAATGTTGAGTTCACAATATCGACAGATGTAGAGTTTCAACATTGTGATTCAACATTGATACAACATTGTCATGATGTTGATTTCACAATATTGATAAAAGTAGAGTTCCAACATTGTGATTTAATTACTATATTGCCCCGCGGTTGTGTTGACACTTGACAATATTGAAGGGAGAATGCTCCCTCGGGTGTAAGGGGTCCCATGAGCTCGACAGGTCCTAAGGCGTCAATCGGACTAGTAAGGGTGGGATCACTGAGGTTCCAACTAGACGAATATGGTCTTATAGAAATAGTACCTATTGGTATCTTATATAAGCATATACGTCTTGAATATGACATGGGTATAGAGAGTTATAAAGTGAATCGATCCTTAAATAAAGATAGCTCTACTTCATAAATCCTTTTATATCATCCTCAACCTACGTTGAATTAAGCAGCATTATTGTAATAGGCATTATTTTATTCGGGTGCCACCGGTGCCATTCAAGTATCACGGACCACGGTAGGTCCTACCAGTCGTGCGCTGAGCTCTTTCAGAGACCGTACCGACTGGAATCTAGCGACCGTTGGGCGCTGACCGTTTTGAAGACGCGGCCGGCAGCGGGCGGTCCCATCCTCGCCTCCGGCTAGAGAGGGGGAGACCGCGACAGGGGACCGCGCGTCCCCATCCCGTTGTGCCGGCTCGCAGAGTGCGGACGGGTGTGTTGAGTGTGTGGTGTCCAGTGTCGTCTTGCGTCTCCTCTTCCGACCATGTAGGTTTCCGCCAGTTTCTGCTGTGTGACAATCAGTGCATTTATCCTAGTTCTTGCAGTGCTAAGTTAAAAAAAAACTGGCGCTGAAACGTTCTCTTCAAAATGGTGGCGATCACCGTCGTCATTTACTTGCCTGCGGCAAAGGGAAAAAGTGCTGCTGGTGGCGTAATGTAGCGCCATGCCTTGAAACAGGGCCCGGTAAGTATAAAAGAATAGATGCAGGGTAGTGGGATGCATTAAGGGTACATGCGTCATACATGCACTTACATAAGTATCTATTATCTGAGCTGAAAATGACTGAACTGAATTTACTCAAAGGCCCAATTTAGGTATTACCGTTGTTACATAGGAATCTCCGCTTTGTTACAGGAGTGCGAGGCTCGACGGGCGACTCAACCCCCACGGCCCTGACTCAACCGCTCAAGATGTGAAAATGGCGGAGACTGAGCGGCGGCCGAGGTTGTGTGACGTGACGTGATGTGTGAAGTGTAGCTGACTCGAAAAAAGTGAAGAGCTGTGCATATATCATAGAAATACATTTTCCCCCGGATATTGACTGTGACGGTGACACTGGAATATTTTAGATAATTACGGGATACGTGATTTCGTACACGTATAGGTCTGTCGACAACATCGAGACAATGTTGTATCAATATGGAAACAATGTTGAATCAACCAAGAATCAACATCGAGACAATGTTGTATCAACACCGAGATAATGTTGAATCAATCAGAAATCAATATCGAGATAATGTTGAATCAACCAAAAATCAACATCGAGACAATGTTGTATCAACATCGAAACAATGTTGTACAATGTTGTCCTGTCAATATTGATACGATGTCGAAATTCAACATCGTATCAATGTTGAAAGTGGCTAACAGATTGACATCGATACAACATTGTTGTCAATATTGATACAACATCGATACAATGTTGATGTGCTACTAGGGAAGGACAGCCTACGGATTTAGGGGGGCGTCTTTCCCCATCAGGACAGGGGGCATCTTACCCCAAGGTACCGAAGTAACATTAAATCAGCACAATTTGTTAGCCATAAAACTACACCCGGAAACAAACTGTTTGGGACACAGTACACGCATGTTAATGTATCACGACTATAGCAAGGGACGCAAAAATTATCTACCTTCTTTGATATTTACAATGTTTTGACGCTAAAATATTTTTGAAAGCAGCAAATAAAAAACATGCAATCACCAGCCAGCGGCCCGTTGCCCAACTGAGCTTCGCAAATTTTTGTGCAGTTAACATAGGCAGGCTTCCGCTTTACGCTAAGAACATTAATTTCCAGGTTCCATTCTTTGTTTCCCCGCTAGAGGGGGTGGGGCGTCTTTCCCACCCTGGGCATCTTACCCCACTCTCCCCTACGATTACTTCCTAGCCAATAGCCATGCTACTGGCCAAATCAGCCCGGCTTCCACCCACCTCTTTGGACTGGTATAGTTGCAGTAGCTGCACATGTGCGCCTGCGAGACCGTCTGGGAAGACTTCCTGGGAGCGATCCGCGTGACGCGGGCCTTGTCGTCCTCCTCACCCGACTCCTCCTGAAACGGACGGGTAAACCAGCGAACGCCGGTGAAAATACGAGACTTACACCTCGATCGAATTGAATATCGAATTCGACGTTCGATTTGGTATTCGGCCAGGCAACGGAGACGAGAAATTAAACAAGACAAAGCATAATCGGAGGAAAACAATATGACAAAATTTGAATACAAATACAATCACGCTAAAATTCGAAAGTTCTTTCAAAATCCACGGTTGGTGTGAAGCCTGGATGTATGGCGTGACGTTACGTAAGAAGCCTTATATAAATTGTATCTTAACATTGTTTGTAGAAAAAAAAATCCATGAAATGATATCACAAAAATCCTGCAATTACAAAACACAGAATCCTGCGGCATACCCGTCCGACCGTAACCCCGCTCCACGTACCTCCTCTGGCTGCTCGTCCCCGTCGTCAAAGTCGTACACGCCGATCGTCTGGTCGTCGCCCTCCTGCTTCTGGCCCTCCTCGGCGTCCGGCTGAACGGTCAGGTCAGGTCAGGCCAGGTCAGATCAGATCAGCAATAGGGCAGACAGGAAACTGAGATGTGGGTATGTAGCCTATCGGGGAGAGGTGCGAGTTGCATGAAGCTAACACTCCGATCCACGATCAAAATGCACCGCAAATAATCAACCAGTATAACGCCTTTTGGGGCGACTAACGGAGCGAGCGAGAGGGTGGGCCTTGCACGTGCGAAATTTTGAGGGGGCACCTCCAACTGACTTGTGCACGGCACCTTACTAGCCGGTCCCTAGCGATGTGCCAAATTTGAGCACAATCGGCCCAGCCGTTCTCGAGATCTGGAAGCGGCACCCTGCACGTGCGCACGTGCAAAATGGGTCCCATCTGACTTTTGCACGGCACCCTACTAAATGGTCCTTAACCGTGTACCAAATTTGAGCGCTATCGGTCCAGCCATTCTCGAGATCTGGAATCGACCCCTGCACGTGCGCACGTGCAGCAGCACCCCAACTCTGGCACATGGATATGCATTGCCTAGTGGGTGCCTACCTACATGCTAACTTTCAGCGCAATCGGCCAAGTAGTTACCGAGATATTGCAACAATTACAAAAGTGACACCTCTTCGTTTTGCACGTGGCACGTGCATAAGGGGTCACCCACATGCATCGGGAATAGTCCAATACTTGGTAGAAGGAACGAAGCTACCCTACAAAAATTACCGCGTGTAAATCGGTCAAGTGGTTGCTGAGATATAAGCCTCGCAAAAGCGTGACCACGGCCGGCCGGCCGGCCGGCCGGCCGCTCATACTCAGAAATTTCCGTTAATCTAAGGAAAGACTACGCTCGCTTCGCTCGCTCCGTAATCACGGTTACGGACAGTCAAAAACCAATCACCATGTCGTGATGACAATACTGACATGTTAACTAGTTACCTTCTTTTGACACTAGCGATTGCTATACGAGTACACCACTGTCAAATAGACCCACAATCCCACTGCGCGTATCGCCAAGCCAGCCTCACAGCACTGACCCGACCGGCGCCGGCCCGGGGCGGATGGCGGCCGGTCGCTGACCCAGAGGTCACCGGTCAAGGTCACGATACCACACTGTCGCTGAGCGCACTACCGCCGCCGGACGGAGTCGCGCATGGTCATGTAAGTACCGCTGTTTGGGTATTGGAAGCCTCGCAGCCCGCAGCTGATGTTTGCGGTTGTGAATGTGATGGAACGTTAGATACACCATTGTCGTTTCAAAATCTTGCATTGTTTTTCTTGTCTTTTCAAAATGACTGCTAGTTGGAAAAGGAAATATTCAAGCTATTTTACTGTTTTCGTAAGTCCCCACTTCCTAGCTGTGAAGCATCAGAATCGATAGAGGCTGACTGGCGTTGTTAAACTCTCACCGAAATGCTCTATCTGGTCAAACCAGGTAGGGAGGCACTCCTTCGATATTTCCACCGCATTCGCGGATTGCTCCCCGCTTCGGTGCCCCGTCGAGTCTCCGCTCTCCGCCCCCTCCCCCCCCCCCCGCACCTGACGAGCACCCCGAGCCCGCCGGAGACGGCGCTCGCAATTCGACACCGACCGCCACCGTCTCAACGAAGCCATAACTGTTACGACGATCGGATATCGTCGGCATGTGGTGTTGTATGACGGTGATCGCAGGTGGTATTACGGGACACTAGGGTTAGAAGCGAAGCTTATCAGCCATTGAGCTAAGACTGAATACGCAAAAAAAAAAAAAAAAAACTTATTTCAGGTCGTAATCGACGATAAGCAGAAATTGGACCCAAGTGATGTCCTTTCCGCCTGGAGGTTAAGGTGCTTGACATTCAAATTGGCCAAAGCATTGACTGGGATTGGCTGAGTGACTTTGTTTGTCTAAGACCCTACTAGAATCAAAAATTTCCAATAGAAAACTATAGACGCACAAAGATTTCAAATCAATGACTCCAATACGGTTCTCACGTCGTGAGTATGGGATGTGTTGACCCCGTTAGCACCGCCCGCCCGGACTGACCTGCACAATGAGCACATAGCTGACTTCGTCCGAGTTGCCGTCGGAGGGGACCAGTGTGACCGTCTGATAGGCGCCGCCGGCGGCGGCTGCCACCGCCTGGCCGCCGGCCGCCAGCTGCACAGTCTGGCCCGCCTCCCCGGACGCCTGCACCATCGCCGCGTCCGCCGTCACCGCCGTGGCCGTCCGCACCCGCTGCAGAGGAGCAAGACGGTCAGGTCAGGTCAGCGGTCAGTGGTCAGTGGTCAGAGGTCTAGTGGTCAGCTGGTCTGATCTAGGTAAATGTAATCGGTCTGTGTACTATTCACCGGCTATGGTTATCGGTAAGGTTTTAAGTCGGATCAGCTGTCGAGGCCACCGTCGAGTGACTCGGGCCGGTACCCACTGGTCTCATCTGGTCACTGTGGTCAGGTACCCGTCCGTTACGACTCGTAGTCCAACTCGTACTTTCGAGTTGATGCGTTGGTCAGGACACCCGGGGTGAAATAACTGGTCGTCATTGGTCAGATGAGGTATGAGGTCACTGATGGGATTCACTGGTCGGGGTTTGGTCGGGGTAACCGGTCCGTGTCACTCATGGTCAGAGCCAGGTCAAACGGCTAGTTGACTGCTGGACGCTCGCTTAATTACATCACTCAAACTGTCCTCACTCGAGCAAAACCTGATCCAAGACGTACTTGATGTCAGGACGCGTTACCTACAGTTCCTTTGGCATTCCAGATCCAATACCTCTGCGCCCACCGGGCCGCCACAGCGCTGTGTCACGCGGCTGTGACGGCGCCCAACCTTCACTCAATATACCCTGCCCCGACCAGCGACTGCACAGCCTACCTTGGATCGTCGCAGGCCGCCATCCTCCTCGGTGGCCTCTCGGATGAAGTACTGTCCCGACTGGTCCACGTACACCTGTCCCACCTCGCCGCCCGCGCTGCCGGCTACACCACACAACGCCGTCAGCGCCATCGGTCTCGGTAGAAACATGCTCGATCAGACGGGTTAGTGCTTATAACTAAACAATAGTATGAATACGCACAGCAGTTTTCATTGAAACTTGAGCCAAATGAAACGCTCGCGTAAAAGAACAGTTCCAACTCATTTACGATATATAGCGAGCTTCATTCTGAATAGCCAGTAAAATGAGCTGAAGGCTGATTAACTTAACCCTACCGGACCACCCATACGTAAGTTCCGTTCCATCAATATCTTGACTGAAAAACTGATGTTATTATAATGGAAAAGAAATTGATTGGCACAAATGTATTATTTTAGCAGATAAAAAGACCGAAACACAGAATAACCTTATTCTGCCATGTTAATGTTTTTCCCCATTATATTTTCAATGATCAACGCAAAAACCACCATCCATTATATTACATATGTAGTTTTGTCTTACCAGGGTCGCTGGTGTTAGTTTGAAGATCTTTCTGGAAATTATCCAGATAATTCTGGATGTCCGTCATGTTTTCTTGGGTTTCCATTTTCAGGCCGTCTGAAAAAGCGAAGGAATATCGGTAGATTATTATAATTGCCGTTTTGGTTCCAAAACACCAACTAATCAACGGGCAAGAATTGGGGCAAGTTCGGTACGCTGAGCGTTTTCTAGGAACGCTCGTCAAATGCTTGAGAGATGAGCATGGCATATCCAAGGGCATATCTATCCTTGTAATGATTTTCGAGCATCTCTACCGAAATACACCAGTAAATCGTGCTAAAACGACATAATCATATCACAAAATTATCTCTTATAATTGAGTTATAATCACGCGCAAATGAGACCGTTTCCTCTTCAAAAAATGTATCCCAGCTTGAACTGAGATGGTAGCAAAATCGCCGCCTCAAAACAGGGAACAAGACATTTAGATAGCCGATGTGGTAGGGTTCATACCTATAAACGATATTCGATAACTTTTGAAGTCATAAAAAACTTTCCCTCGTCAGCTCTGGCTCGAGGGTCGTCCGTCGGCTCAGTCTGCGGCCTCCCGTTTGTTTTTGTTTTGCTTTTTGCCACAAAAATAACAACAAAATTGTGCCGTAAACTTGTCGCTCAAAGCAGGAAAATTTAACGGGGTAGGCGGTAGGTAAGATTGATTATCTCCGTTCCGTATCCGGTAATGGCTCTCATACTTGTTTCTGCCATTTCCTTTCGTGTTGGAAGGTTTGGAAGACTGATCATAAACTCTCCGCATACCAGAAATAGATGTGCCTATTACTCCCAAGAAATTAATTCGTCTTTGAATCTGAATTTTCGATAGTAGAGTGGAGTGTTCAACAGGCCACTGCATCGATGAAAATGCATTCCATCGCCGTAGACGCCAACTATCCTGCCCCGTTGATGGCGTCTATAAATTGAGGATCCGGAGACCGGACAGCATCCGAACCAAGGTGAGGCTAGGGCTGAAATGGGTTCCTGTAGGGGACCGTCTCCAATTCGATCTAATTTTACTCCAGGCGCCCTCTTCGACAACGCGTTCAGGCTCACCTTCATGATTTTCTCACTACTGGCGCTAGCGTAGGGGATGGGAGCGACCTCTGTCGGGGAATATGGACGTTCCTGCCGATTCGCGTCGGTTTTACGCATTGCAGGCAAGTATCCAGTGAAACGCATCCTAACTGTGATACGACGAACCTATTAAAAGTGGTATTTTCCATGAAACGTGACTTACCTGTCGACCTTCCCGAGAAACGACGGCGTAATGGCGTCCCAAAATGGCGGTCGATGCAGTGAAAATTTAATAGTGATGACAAAATATTATGCCAAGTACGAAGCTTATTTTGCACTCATCGGTGAATTCATACAAAATGAAATGCAAAAATAAATTAACGACAGTTCACAACCTTAATCGCACAATTATGTAACAAGGGAACAATAGATTATTAAAATCATAAATAAAATGATCTCGTTAAAATGCATATTTTACCATATATTGCAAAACTAGAATACAAATGTTTATTCAAATTTCTGAGCAAATAATTTACGATGTTTCAAACTTCAGTCAAAAGGCATTTACAACAACGCTCTGAAATATCTGACAAAATCATCAATTTTATTTCTTCTCTATTCCGCCATCTTTTGCTGTTTTCCGGCGTCGTGGCGGTCGTCGCGCGGTGTTGTTTTCCGGTAGGGTGGACTGCTGGTGTTTATTCCGTACTTGCTCACGATTGCTTCCAACAGAAAACATCAAATGAATTGATTTTAACGTTGGTTTAAGATTGATAGGTGCGTGGGAATGATGGTAGTGTAGTGCATTTTACCTGCGCCGCCTGCCGCACTTGCGGCTCTGGGGCGTTATACGATAATGACTTTGATACTTTTGTTTGTTATGATAATTTCACCCTGTTTAAGCATATTCCCAGCTATTGGTTTCAATATTTGTATGTTTAAGTACTATTCTCTTTTTGTTCGACTTTTCTTTGTTACGATCTCTCATATTTCATTCTTGTTTCGTGGAAGGCTTTTTGGTTTAACATTGAAAAAGGTATTTGTGAGATTTGTTAAGCTCCACTTAAAATAATATTTAACTACATATGTTTTCATGGTTGACACACACTTCCTTTATTATCCAAGCTATAAACTGGTTGATGCCCCAAGTGCACCAAGGCTGAAGACATAAATAAACAATATGATCCAACCTTCTATCAGTGGGGGAAACTGTGGTCAAATCTTCTATTTTTGGAAGCCTTCCATTTTTGGAAGGACCTTCCATAAATGGGTATGCATTTTCCAAAAATGGAAGGCTTCCAAAATTGGAAGGTCTAATCTCAGTGTTCCCAACTGTGATTCACATTCTTTGATTTAAGTTACGGCCTTTTTAAATGTGTAACATTAATAGTTGATTTTGCCATTTATGATCATTGATATAAGGAGAAGCAGCAGTGCTAGTGTTGGTAATACAGGCATGCTATGTCAATGTACATAGTGATATAATAGCATGGTGTCCTGGCGCACTGCTCTCTTTTTCTACTTCTAGAGGACACATAGAAATTCAGAAGAGAAAACAGCTGGTCAATAACCAACCAGGAGGAACACAGCTATAGCCCTGACAAAAAATGGTTTAAATCAAACTTACTATTCCTCATATAAATTGAAGATTCATGCTCCTTCGATAGAAAGTAACACGAAAAACGGCGCAGCAACGCCTATTTAATTCGTCCCATATTCCGGAAAAAAAACATTGAAAAATGACGAGACCTCCACCCAAATGTTTGGCAAAAGCCTTAAAAAATTGAAATCAACCACACAATATGCTAATAAATGCAGAAAATGGCAACAAATACAAGTTTTACTTGCCACTACACTCCCGAAACCGCCGCACTCTGTCCAGACAATTCCGCACTGTAAATATAGTCGGCGGTATCGAACAAGCATGGCCCGTCACTAAAGTACTTTTAAGGATATTTACTTTTCGTTTTTGATGCTTTTTGCTTACAAAATGTTTGATAAAGTCTTATAAAACCATCGTTTGTAGTTAAATTTTTGTCAATTTTCCACGACTCATTACTTTGAAAAATTACCTAAAATACATCCACGCTAGGATTTAGGCCTCCACGCTAGATTATGGACACTTCACTATGGCGAATAGAAAGCGACCAGGGGCGATAGTCGCATTTGCCTCATGTTCGGCGGAAATCGGTAAGTTCCAACATATGCGCAACATTTTCTATATTTGGGTACGATGACGTCGTCAGCGTACCCATTTTTGGAAGGTGCGTACCCATATATAGAAAATCCTTCCAAAAATGGAAGGCTTTCTAAAAATGGAAGATTTGACCACAGTTTCCCCGACTGCTATGGCAGACTGCTGACTGGGTCTGTTAATGAGCTGAGGCTGAATACTGCATATTATAATCAGAAGTGGTTTAATGCTTGAGATAGGAAGCATTGTAAATCCCTTGCTTTTTACTAGCTACTTTCATTATTTGTGTAATTGTTCTTGTCTGGAATGCTTATTTTAACAATATTTTTCTTTTCAGTGGGTGATGTGAAATAGCTGCCAAGAAGAAGGGCATCTGAGAGCTACACAGCAGATCAACACACGAGGGTGACAGCCAGTTGTCACTGAATTGTCTAGAACAATGAGTGTTATCATACGGCTCCAGAACCTGCCATGGTCGGCAAACTCTGCAGACATTCGGCAGTTCTTCCGTGGGCTGTCTATTCCGGACGGAGGGGTCCACATTGTGGGCGGCGAGCAAGGAGATGCTTTCATAGCATTTAGGTAAAGGTCATTTATTATTTCATCAACTGTTATGTTTATGTACCTATTGACCAATGTTTCAGGAAATTGTCTGGTGTTATCCACTCTTAACTAGGTCAATCACACTTTTTAATGGCTTTTTACCAGTATGTTTTTTTTTGCATCAACTCTTTGAAAAGAGTGATTATGATGATGTTAGTCACTCACTTCTCATTTAGAAACTAAAGCTTCAAAATGTTGACAGTTGATGCTCCAATTTCTTCTCTCATTTCCTTTGGCAGCTACTTGAGGCAAATTTTATTCACAAGATGTGATCAAGTGCCATCCCCTCTTGTTGTGACTTGTCCTTTTCTTCTTCTTGCAATGCTATTTTTGTTTGACAGCTGGTTTGAACTATCATGCTAGGTTTGACAAGTTTCATCCAGATTACTGGATTTAACAAGCATAATTTAGTGTCATGGTCATTGTCAATCCTAGCTCTCAGGTTATTTTATTAATGCTGACTACACATGAAGGTAATGAAATAGTCAGTTGGATCTAATGGAATGCCAAGATGTTTTCCACCTTTTGAACAAGGTTAGAAGCACAGGATAATGTATGAGTCCCTGTGTAGCAATATCATGCTTAAAGCTCAGTTTCGATCGGCACTAAGGATCGATCGCTCGGTAATTATTTCGGTTATTTTTTATTATACTAGGCGGGGATTTTATATTAACAGAGAAATACGTATCACTCCCGAAGCATCACCACACGATAAGTCTATTCGTAGCTCTTAGTCCTTTACCGTGACGGTCTTCAATGATGCGTAAAGGCGGCTCGGAATCGTCGCCGCTATGGCGTGCGGCTGATCTGCGGCGAAATCGAAACGGTGACTCCCGGTATCTGTTTCACGGCGGAGCGCTACAGTGCGCTGCGCGCGTCGGCGCGTTGGGTTTCCATGGCAATATCAACAAACTTCCCTCTGACGCTGCGCTATGACGTCATTGCAAAACGCTAGCACCGCGGCGCCAGCATCATCCGCACGCTAGCAGTATTCGCACTTAAACTTCTGTTCAATCGGTACTAGGTCCTTCAAGGTCTCTGTTCGAAACGCGATTTATCATAAGCTAACGGATCGCACGCAGCGTCATTCGAGTGACGTCAGGGGTATGCCTCAGCTCCCAGCGCGCGCAGCGTCGGGCGGTGAAACAGGGCCCCCGGTGTCCGTTTCGCCTCGATCCTGTCGCTGCACAGCACCAGGTTACGGGGACCGAGACGGAGACGGGCGCGGGCAACACCTGAGCACCAGCAGCGCCGGTGTGTCGAGGCCAGCCCCGGACACCGCCCGCGTTTGCTGTACTTTTAAAAGATACAGTTATTAGAAATCAAACTTTTTGCAATGATTTTATTTACAGATGATCAGATGGTCTTTGCTCCTAAGATCGCGTAAAAACATTTGATCTAGCTTACTTTCTACTATTTGCATCTTTTGAACATGACCGCATTCATTATTTTTTTTTTTCAAAGCGCAGACAAAACGCTGTAACATGCGGAATAACTACAACTACTGAACAGCATAATCGGCACACTTGTCGATTGGCCCAACTTAGCGAACGCGAGTACGTATGGGGACGATACATGCATAGTTTGATATGATAATGATAGCTATTACGAGGCATAAACCATCAATACGGATAATGCTTATCACATACCGCGGATACGAATCCTGCTAGGTCTGAAAAGCTCAAACACAACGAAACAGAACCTTTTCAACGGCCCAAATATTCCCTGGGTATATTTGAATCGCCCAATCAGTTGCCTTCACCGTCACGCTGGCTCGGAAGCCTAAAACACAGGAGCTTCATCGCTTCACGGGTGTCAACTGTCGTCGCAGCGATAATCCCTGTACATTGTACATATTGGGAGTAGGTGCGGATTACGGTACCACGCGCGGGTGCTTTCAACTGGGCACCTCTCGAACTACTGATAGCGGAGCCTCGTACACGGGCTTCTTTCATGTCTTCGTGAAGGAGCTTTTGGTGTGATCCGAGACTGAAGCAGATGCCACCGTGCGCGGCATCACTGAGTCTTCACGACAGCACCAGCCAATCATACGAGGGCTCGTGCTTGGCAATATGCTACAATAAGTCATACACAAACAGTATGTTTTTCGTACCCTGCCTCGCCACACACAAAAACAATCATTGTCCATGCACCTTGTCCTATCGTTCAAACGAAGTATCATTTGACCAGAACCACTCATGCAGAAACGAAAAAAAAACTATCACGCATTGTGTTCATTCCTGACTACCACGTGTAGCTTATAAACGACGTACGGTTGACGATTTACGACATAGTAGGTAAATATGTAATAGGTTTGGGGCGCAGTGGCTAGTCGAATTCGTATGTGGAGTTTTATCATCTAACATGGCTCAAATAGGGCAAAACATAACTCGCTGATACGAAGCAGGCCTAACAAACCCGGCAATCACAGGCTGGGGAAACGTCGCCAGACCTGATAGGCTATTAGGGGATTTTGTGCATTTACTAGCATGATTTCTGACGGCTCGGTCAGGAGCACGGGTCAATTTATAAACTGTTGAAGCACAGGGTTGATGACAATGGTTTGGTGTATGATTCTCGCATCTGCTGACTCCGGTTGCACGTTTTTTGTTTTGGCATGGGCATTCATGTTCAGTTCAAAACACGATCAGCATGGTCATTCACGATCAGGTCAAGACAATCCTGCGGTCCCTGTCTGGATGGGAATTCAAAGCAGTGGCGTTCACTTTGTAATGCTTAGTAACATTGGGTTCCATGACAACTGAACCAGTGACAGCTGAACCAGGACAACTGAACCAGTGACAACTGAACCAGTGACAGCTGAACCAGGGACAACTGAACCAGTGTCAACTGAACCAGTGTCAACTGAACCAGTGTCAACTGAACCAGTGTCAACTGAACCAGTGACAACTGGACCAGTGTCAACTGGACCAGTGACAACTGAACCAGTGGACAACTGAACCAGTGACAACTGAACCAGTGACAACTGAACCAGTATGACAACTGAACCAGTGTCAACTGAAACAGTGACAACTGAACCAGAGACATCTGAACCAGTGACAATTGAACCAGTGACAACTGAACCAGTAGCCCAGCCAGCAATTTTACTCCGGACCCAAGCAGGCGGAAGTGAGGCTTGCCCGACATTTTTAGTCGGGCGAAAGTCGGCTAGCGCTTGGGCTAAAGCCGGCTAGCGTCTGGGCAGTCGGCGTATGACTCAAAAAACGCCGACTAAAGCCAATGTTCTGCCGGAGGTATGCGCGCTCGGCGAGCTCAGGACAGCCGGTTTATATAGCCTTGGGACAGCCGTAGTTGCGCCCTAGTTGTGCGGCGTTTGGCGCAAGCCCGATGTAAGCCCGAGCAGTCAATCCATTTATATACCGGAGATTCCTCTGGGCCCAGGCCGGCTGAACTCTGCCAAGCCCACGTTACATGCCCTGTCTGTCCCGAGTTAAGCCATCAAAGTGAATATTATTTATACGTTACTAACTATTCGGGCGTCCCAGGTGGGCGTAACGGCTACCACACCAGTTCGCGACCACCAGGCTCTGTCAGCCATGTCAGCCATCGTACGGCTCTCGGACGGACACTTTAATAGATCGGACACAGATCAATTGGCAGACCGGCAGATTGGTACAGTCCGTCCGTCCAGTCACGCGCTACCTTATACCTATACAGCGCAGTACGACATTAGAATTGTTTCTGGTTCAGTTGTCCACTGGTTCAGCTGTCCACTGGTTCAGTTGTTCGCTGGTTCAGTCGTCACTGGTTCAGTTGTCCACTGGATCAGTTGTTCGCTGGCTCAGTCGTCACTGGTTCAGTTGTCCACTGGTTCAGTTGTCCACTGGTTCAGTTGTCACTGGCTCAGTTGTCACTGGTTCAGTTGTCACTGGTTCAGTTGTCCACTGGTTCAGTTGTCACTGGTTCAGTTATCACTGGTTCAGTTGTCCCTGGTTCAGTTGTCCCTGGTTCAGTTGTCACTGGTTAAGTTGTCGCTGGTTCAGTTGTCACTGGTTCAGTTGTCCCTGGTTCAGTTGTCTGCCTACCGTATCATTGGCGTCGCATATACAATCATACCATACACAAATCGTGTTTAGTGGGCGAACCGCTTGTCCTCAGCCTAGATTGAGCACTTCTGGAATCGTGCAATGCCGGAAGGTCGAGGTGATGTTCTGACTTAGATCTGGGAAGGAAATCGTTCATTATCTGAGTCTACCGTTTCATCTGGGTTAAGCTCCTCCCAACTAGTAAATTAGCTAAGAAAGGTGCCTTTTTCCTCATGCTCGTCAGATGGGTCATGCTGTCCAGAAAGTTCTTTGTAAATTTCGAGATCCAGCTGTCCAGGCTTTCGCTACAAATCCGTCAAGCACTGGCGTTGCACGTTGACAGTTTGTGCGTTGCACAGCGTTCATATGCTGTCTCGACGGTAGCCTTCGACTCTCTGCAAACGACAGGTCCTATCCTGGCGAAATAACGCATGTCACGACGGAACATTGGGCACCTTTTTGAAATGTTACGTCGCTGTTACGTCGCTAAAAGGGCCAATGTCGACCAATCGCAGCTTGGGAACGCTGGCCGCAACGTGAGGCCCCGGATACGAAACCATTATATTGAACCCTTTATCCGTTAGGGTTGGCAAAGCCATCATTTGCCTGGTTTGTTAGGTTTGTGACCTAAAGTTGACCCCTAGTCAAAATTCACATCGAGATCAGTTCGCAAAAAGGACGTCAAAAAGATGATACGCGAAGTCAAACTTAACAATTCGAAATCACCTTTGACATTTATTTTTTTTTTTAATAACATGGATATTTAACCTAAGCCATAACCATAAGCTGTTTTGTTCACCTCAAGAGGTTTACAGGGGTCTGATTTAGCATACGTTCATCGAGGTCGAAATTTAGAAATCACGTAAATGTGCTTACTTTTGAATCGCTACTATCAGGTCTTACCATACAGTCAAATAATATATTGATCATCAATAATAGAAATGGGTGGCGTAATAAGCAACAAGAAATCAATGCCTAGCAAAATAACAACCTCAGGGGATGTCATCAGTGGACCATCCATAATGAGGGTTTACTGTGCACTGTGTATTATATTATATTAAACACCCGTAGATCATCCACGATAACCGAGGCTACATTGCTCAGTGTCAAAAACATACATAAAGCATGCATAAAACGAACGATTGGGGAGGTATAAGAACACGCATTCAAAACATGCTCTCGAGCAACCGCGCTTTACATATTTGCTTTACATTTGCTTTACATTACATGGCTTTATACATTTGTGACCAAACTATAACAAGCCAAAGGCCTCAAAGTTCAGACTTATATGCTGAAAATGCAGTACTGGTTACGAGAAACGAATGCGTATCATTAGATGTAGGCAAATGCACCGCGCTCCACAAAATTTCTCCAGGCAGCAGTTGTTAGAGGGATCTATTTTTACATTTGCATGGCGCTGCCGCTTCTCCATTCGTACAACATACGGTAGTTGTTTATAAAAGCCATCCAGGCTGCTATATTTATGCTTCATGCTCTTTATTCTGACTTATAATCGACCGATCGTCTTTTACGTTATTTTCGTCATTACGCAGAACCTTTCCCAGAACCAGAACCAGAACCTTTTGTGAGAGAACCTTTCGGCGAATTAATGATTGGGGAGGAGTAAGGAAAGAAGGCAAACATACACCAAGTTCTCCCTATCGCGGAGAGCCATCAGCACCCCCGCAGAGGAGCGTTGGTCGGGCCGTCCGACCCCAATGCTGCCCGGTCGCGGATGAGGGAACTTGACCGTCACAAGGGCTTCGGGCTGTTACCAAAGAGTGTGACAGTGACCGTCAAACACGAGCTGGACGGTGCTCCGTTACCTCGACGATGCTTAGACGGGCTTACGACCAGCCAGTCATACCTTCGTCACCGGTGGCGATGATTGGAATCGATATACCTCGCCAGCGTTGCTTCAGAATCTGTGACTGGCCGAGATGACATCGATTTGGATCAGTTATGCGGCAAACGACGCTCTGACTGGAAATTGGCATGCCTGCGACGACTGCAGAGGAAAAACACTTATCAGGAAACGCACTACTAGACGGACAAAGGTACCCACGCCGTGGCGGTGGTCTTGCACATCACGCTGAAACTGAGAACACTTCCCGCTGCCCATTGAAATCGGCTCGTGGACCACGGAGGGACGTGTAGCAATGGGCGTTCGAAGTTTAGTTTAGCTTCTTAAAGTCGTCGTGGACGGGGACACCCCATTTAAAGACGAAGTCCTATAAGAAAACAACGAAAGGTCGCCAAAAGGGCCTACACGCAACTTGGATATTTTCTAAGCCAGTGTCAATCGAAAGATAGTTTTCGCGGTTCGTTTTTTTTTCATATCGCCTGATGCCCCGAAGTCATAGGGCTACAACTCTAACTAAAGTATTCGAAAACTCGTCTCTGCTGTAGTGACTGTAAGCAAGCCCTACATAATTCTCCCGAACACTGAACACCACGTGGAAGTTGTGACTTCAGAAGTGGCAGCGAAAGTCCATTTTTTATTAAAGGGACCCTCCCACCTTAACATTAAATTTGAGCTGAGATAGCCAAAATGGGGTCCCTGGCTCACAATTACCGGTTTCGGCACTCACAACATCGAGAAATGCCTTAAATCAGAAATATTGAATTTAAAAATTGCAGCATTTTGATTCAGAGGGGCTAATGCTTAGGAATACCCCTCTGAATGTGTGACGTCAGCGCAGATATCTAACGATTTTTAAATGTTTGACTAAAACGTTTTGTAGCACGCGTACGTATATGCTATTTGCGCGCAACATCTGCCGCAAACGCCGCACTTCTAAAATAAAGTCGCTAGAAACAGCGGAGATCCCAAAAAAGTAAACAAAAGTAAAAGTCTAATATCTTGAAAACCGGTGAATATTTTTCGATGAAATTTGGTAGATATTCGTTTTCGCTCTTTCTGAACCGAGCGACATCACTTTCATGCCAATTCATAAACTTTTTTGAAGGTGGGAGGGTCCCTTTAACTCAAGAAAGATGTTTCGTGGGACGTTACATGGATACCTACCTATTCGCTGCAACGAATTTTCTGACGATCACTTTGATGCTGAGTTAGGTACTGGGTAAACCTATTATGAACTTTGATCGCCGCAACACCTTCAATTAAGGGGGGGGGGGGCACTGCCGACTTTTGGTCCCATTCTTTCCATGCAACGCCCATAGGGCTAATGTTAAAATGACAAAATCAAGGGGGGCACGGTGTCATCCCCCCGTTCCGCCGCCTATGCTTAGCGGAATGCGTCAAAGTAGAATATCCAAAGGTGTTTCTGTACATTGGCTTAAGTTAAGCGAAACTTAGTTAAGCCGCTTATAACTAGGTAACTGCCGTATCATTCTGAAAATGCCAAATATCAGCACGCTCATGGCTGGTGGCCCGTCTGTGAAAACTTACCCTGCGTGTCTGTGCACCTGTAGTGTATCTAATTCGTCTCGAGTTCTGCACAGATAACCGGGTCTCACGTCAAGCACTTGCCTCAGTCAGCAATCTAGGTGAAAACCAATTGACCTATGATCAAGTTACGTGGCTGCTAAATGTTCGTGTACTTTCCGGCCTCAGCGACGGAGAATCAACGACCTTGGACTTACAAAATATAGAGCTGTGCGCGCGCTTCTTCGCTTACGACCTACTTTATCATTTTATTTCTGGAGCTTATTGTCATGTGAACTATTTATTACGGACCCCGGACTAGGAATATCTTGACGGCTCCGATTCGGGCCGTTGGAAGTTCGGTAGCCGGTTGCACGCCCAAATAGAATTCCCGGCGTAACAGGGGACTTCTCTGATATCTCCGCCTGGGTGGTGGCACTTTTTTTCTTGTTTGTGCGCCCTCCTACAGTGGGGGCAGCGCACCACAGACCGTGACACTCTGACGTGCTTTGTTGTCTGGTGGAGGTCACAGAAAGCACAGCGCCGGACTGGCTTTGTGTCTGTCAGCTCTGTGTGGCCGCTCCTGGGATGTGTTTTCTGGTTGAATGACCAGTTGACTACTCCACCGTCGGCCCGCTCTGCCGGTCTCGGCTGGTGGCGTCGAGTGACTCCGAGCGGCGGCAGGCGGAGCACGAGCTCAGGCTATATCACAACACCGGCATACAGCATTGGTGCACGTCGCAGTTGCTGCTCTTCGCGGGGCCGAGGGAGTAGCGACTCGCTGGCTTGAGAGCGGAAGATTGAGTGACACGCCTAGCGGAGCAGTGTCTCCACTTTCCCCCACTTGAAATACCCGAAATATCTTTGACTGCTGGGCGTCAGGTCTCGCATTAGATGACCTAAACCAGATCGCCTTGGACTTGGCTTAGTGAATACGCTGACTGATGCAGAGGACATTTTCGACTATGTCCTCCCTCAACCCCATCCCCAACTTCGGGAGTGGCCCATTTGCACATCCCCAAAGCGATTCCGATAGCTGAGGTCTGAGTTGGTCGAAAGCTCAATCAGTAATATCGGCCAGCTTTGCGGTTCTGCTCAGTTTCGGCTGTTGGCCAGCGACTATCTACGACGGGCCATTATCTTAAAATAAAAACTCGCTGTTTTACCTACCTATTGCATTCGCCACTCAATGCAAAGCTTAAAATTATGGCTGGTCACTGGTCAGGGTTGTAGCACACGTTCTTATTTCTTGTTATTCGAGCTGTTTCGTTTCGAGTCTTAGTTGTTGGGTCGGGTGAATGCGTGCACGCAATCGACTGAATTTGACGGCTACATCCTTTACTCTCAGAGCTTATTATTCCGTGCTATGTTGTAAGCTAGCGATTTCTATTTCTCAACTCTATTTCTCAAAGTTTCTATGGTATAGGTAACGCTGAATTAATGTGCGACTGGGATGCAGTGGTATTACGGTCTTGTTACAGGACTTCGTACTTCTCGTCCCAGCTGAAACGAGCGTACTACGTATTGCACTTCTTGAGATAAACAGATCCATTAGTTCACTAAGAGCATGGCTATAACCAACACTCAACAGATTTGGCTTTAGCATTGTGCTACTGCTTCCTAAAAGGAAACCCCATCATCCTTTCGGTTGCAATTAAGCCTGCTTTTGAACTTGTCGGGTGGACAGTTTGACCTGAGGTCAAGGTCATGTGATGACCGAAAATGGCCAGTGCTTATCACGCAGAACATTTGATCGTTATCCACAGCACTACTCGATTATCGTTGTTGCTTGCTTTTCTTGCTTGCTTTAACACTTGCTTTTCCCTTACTTTAACCCGGCAGGCGGTGGGCCTCCCGGCCACCTTCCGCGCGGTGGGGGGGGGGGGGGTGCATTCCCCCCCCCCGTATCTCCGAAACTACTGGACGGATCGGTAAAATTCAAAGGGCGTTCGATAGCCCTGTCAAATTTGTTGTAGGAAAACAAATTTCATTGACCTCGGGGTCACTGATGACGTCACAGGTCAAGTCAAAGATACAATGTTTCACCGTTCCCGGGTCTTCTAGGGAATGCGCTATTACACCGAGGAAAATGCATTTTGTCGAAAATCAGCGCGCTTAGTACATATGCTGCTATTAGAGTTCACTGACAATACCAGGTCAGGTCCCAGGTCAGGTCACCAAGGGTCAGCACATGAACCCAACTTAACTAAGGTTGTGCGATGCATGTTTAGGGCCAATTTTTCATTTCCAACTCGATGGTGTTGGTTACGAGCGAGCGAGCGCAGCGAGCGAAGCGAGTCTTTTCAATATAACGGAAAAATCTCAGTATGAGCGGCCCGGCCCGGCCCGGCCTGTAACGCTATAGAGAGGCTTATATCTCAGCAACCGCTGGACCGATTGGCCTGTGGTCTTTTTTGCTGGGTAGCCCCATCCCTTCTACCCCGTAATTGACTACCTACTTTTGATACACCTCCAGTGGCGTAGACAGGGGGGGCCATGGGGGCCATGGCCCCCCCTTTCCGCCCAGCCGCCCAAATGGCGCCCCAATTAGCGCCGACTAGGCTGATGCCGTTTTACAGAGAGAACATGAATTAAAAAGTGATGTGCAGGCAGGGATCGAACTCAATATCACTTTGGGGTGCCTGGACACCTAAATAATCTCCAGGGCACCCCCAAATACGACCTGAGCCCCCAAATGTTCAAGGGCGCCCCTCCGGAAACCAGAATATTCCGAACCCCCAGGGTCGATGGCGCCCCTGAAGAGCCGCTGGCACCCACCTAAACGGAACAGTCGCCCCATTAAAGCTTGATGGCGCCCCTCTAGAGCACCCGGCGCCCTTCTGAAGTTCACAGCTGCCCCAATCGACCCATCCAAGATCGATCCCTGAAACCACTGGCGCCCCTCTAAAGCACCCGCATTCTTCTCAAGATCACAGTCGCCCTATCCGAGATCAATAGCGCCCTCAAGAGCCACTAGCGCCCCACCCCCTTGAGACTGAAGTCGTCCCGCTTGAGACTAAAGTCGGCCCATTCAAGCCCAATGACGCCCCTTCAGAGCGTCCAGCGCGCTTCTGAAGATCACGCCCATCTAAACGAAGGTTACAGCTGCCCCATCTTAAGATCGATGACAGCCCTCTGAAACCAATGGCGCCCTTCTAGACTACCCGGCACCCCTCTGAAAATCACATTCACCCCATCCGAGACAACGCCCCTGGAGACTACAGTCGGCCCACCCAAGCTCAGGCCCCTCCAGAGCCTCCCTGCGGCGCCCTGCTGAAGGCAACAGTGGCCCCATCCATGCCCAATGGCGCCCCTCAACGCCGTTCTAAAGATCACAGTCGCCCCATCAATCCGAGGTCGCTGGCGCCCCTCAAGAGCCACTGGCTCCCACCTGAACCGGGGATTCAGTCGGCCCATCCTTGATCAATGGCGCCCCTCTGAAATCACTGATGCTCCTCTGAAAATCCCAGTCGGACCATCCGAGATCAATGGCGCCCCTCCAGAGCGTTCGACGCCCTACTGAAGGCAGCAGTGACCCCATCCAAGCATTGCACCCCTCTAGAGCACCCGGTGCCCTTCTGAAGATCACATTCGCCCTATCCGAGGTCGTTCAGACGCCCTCCAGTAGTCACTGACGCGAAACTGAATGGATACTTCGGTCGCCCCGCCCCATTCAAGATTGATAGCGCCCCCCCCCCCCCCCGAAACCACTGACGCTAGGCAATTATTTGACAATGGGGCTTTCTCATCGACACTAAGGGCCCTTTTCAAGATGCAGCAGCTAGGCGGCGCCGAGCTGGGCTTGGATGTGCCAAGCGTTCCTTATTAGGCAGCCTTGTAAGTGCCACCCTCGTTGCGATACCGCCCCTCAACGCGACGCTGCCCCTTCACCGTACAATGCCACCCCTCAATGCAAGTGGCGCCCCTCAGCGCTCTGCCGCCCATTATTGCGATGCCGACAGCGCCTAGCAGTGCGGTGCCGCCCCCAGCGTAAGCGTTTTTTTATTGAACCTGCTTGGGGTGTTTGAACACCCACTTCTAACTCAGCTTGTGGGCCACGTCGAGACACGCAGTAGGCGGCGTTCGAAAGAGCGTCAAAAACTATTACAAAACTATTAAGATCATTTTAAGGTTAGGTCGAACCGGTCGAAGGTCAGGTCACCAGCGACAACCGAAAATCAAATTTCGCCGATGTTGACATTTTTCGACAAAGCGGCGCATAAGTCAGGATTCAGAAAGAGATTGAGCTACAGCGCCGCAGCAAAGCGCATATTCGATAGCTCTTTTTATGCTCTCTCTTATTATCTCAGATTTGACCTAAGGTAAACGTTTTAGCCTCAAAATATACGTTTTCGCGGAGGACGTTTATCTGTAATACCTTTTGGCTCAGACCTGCACGAGATTAGTTTAACCAGCATCGTGTTCCATTTTTAGAGACAGACGAGTCAAATGAACTAGAATTTGACATTAAAAGGGCCTTTGAGAATTTGACCTAAGGAAAAGGTCATAACCTAACCGGTAAAGGTCATATTGCATATTAGTCGATCCATATTTTCGAGAAGGAAAATAATTATGTAGGGTGTTTCATTGCTCTACCATACCTCTATAGTCTATCAAAAGTTATTGTCCAAAATCTACTGGAGACCTTTCATGACCTGAGATGACCTCAGTAACATAAAAATGGTCACATCACGAGTGACATTTACAGATTAAATGTGTCATATTAACCTGCATCCCGATGGTTGAGATTGTTTTCGTTCAGAAGAAGAGCATTTTAATTGTCTCCCATTAATCCGCGCCGTGCTGGAAGGGGGGTTACGCCCCCCTTAGGTTTTTTCTCGCGAATATCTCGAAAACGGCGTAGCGCAGCGCCTGCGCTGTCTTTGTTACTACACCTGTTCATACATCTTTTCTACACAGCTTGTTAAATTTCAGATGAGGGTCGTTCAAGGTCAGGTCACTAGGGCACGTCAAGTGACCTTGCCTCAAAAAAAGTTAAAAGACCCGCTATAGCTACACCGACTGAACGATCACTTTTGAAACTTTCAGATAAGACTAACAATATGCATAAGTCATAACATGTTCATCTCGAACTTTTTATTTCTGTGACCTAAGGTCAGGTCAATTTTGGGACCTCAAGTCAGTGGG